ATATATATATGCAGTAATCATTAACTAATTGTATGGGTACATTTCAAGTACATCAGTTATAGGTCAAGATTCTAATAACTCTCACATAAACAGCTTATTGTTCAGGATAGATAGCCATTGCAGAGATAAGCACTGCAGAGAATTAATTACTTTGTGTTATAATGAATAATGTTTTGCATTCTATTTTTGTTAATGTTTTAATTTAATTAATGCCTCTCTATTAAAGATGATTTTGGGCTGTCTTACAAATATTATTTTGAGAATTTAAGAAATTTGTACATTTAAATATGGCTTAATATAGTTTCTTTTGAAATAAAATTTATATTAACACAAATATTATACATTTCCCTATGAAGCTACTCATTATGAGACTGTTTTCAGCTTGACACTACTTATAAGTTTCTACATGTATACTTAAATTGTGACTTACCCCATGAGAACCTGATCTTTGTGACAATGTTTCAGATTCCATCTCCGAGTCTGTACTCAGTGCCTCGGTATTGTCATGAGACATGGTTTGAGGAACATCACTATCAGAAAGATTTGATGATACTCGTATTGGTTCATAAGCACCCACATTACCGGAAAAGTTTCTTTCTCTTTTGGAGATATGTTGTTCTTTTGGGGAATTTGATAACTGTATTAAGTCAGCATTTGCTTCTGAGTTGAGTGCCCACGTGAACCGCGGCAATGGTAAGTCTAGCGACGTTGATAGCAGGTCTGGCTTTAAAACCATGTTAGATTGATGTGCAGCTATTAATTTCAATGCTGAATAAAATTGTTTCCTATTCATATGATTCAAGGACGCACAGCTGTTCGGAGCCACGCTTATATCCATGATCTGTAAAACAATTACACTTCATAACCACTCATTCACAAATAAAACCTGTTATTACTCTCACCACTCCAAAGGAAAGCGACATTTACCTGTTTGAGAACATCGTTAGGGATATTTGATGATCTAAATAATTCCGTTGCTTTTAAAATTGGTATTTTCCCATTGGATTCCTCGTCACAACATAAAAACAAATCGCCGAAATATCTCATTTCGGTCTCTGTCAAATTGAGATCCTCCATTTTAACCAAAAAATCACAACTATTTAGACTTATGTATTGTTTTTAAGATTAATAATAAATTAGGCGACATAAATAACGATTATCTGTTAATGTAAACCATATTCATTGATAAATAGACGGATTTGAATCTTGTACATTGCAAAATTTACACGAAGCAAACGAGATAATTGTCGGACTGTCACTGACAGCTGCCCGATTGTGGAGCGGCCATTAATTTGTAGGGTGGTAATTTTTAAAAACCGGCATTTCTAAATCCACTTATCTATAGGTAAAAACTTTGAGGGTAAAAATAAATATTTATTACGTACTAAAATAAATTTAGAAGACTATTGTGCCTTTTTCCCATCCTCTAAGGTTGTGGCACAAAATAATAATCATAGGCGACATTATAGTCCATTTGTTTAAGTACTTAACTAAATGTAAACAATCAAGATACATCTTTTTATTGAAACACATGCTTTACAAATCAATAGGTATAAAAATAGACATGCAATTTCATATGAAGCTAAGTATTTGTATTTTGTATTTGAAGGTAAGGGAAAATCATTTTATAAATGTATATTTCATTAAATAGACATCTCAAGATTGTTTACATTTATTTAAGTACCTAAACAGATGGACTATAGATAATATAAATCGGGTAACTGTACCTACTTTTGCTAGGCCAAACACAAATGTCTGTAATTAAATGACAAAAGAAGCAAGTCTAAGGCTCAACTCGCACTGTGGCAGAGTATATTCATCGCATGTAGTATATTCATCTCTATTTTCCCATTATTAAGGTACAAATTTGTGTTATGCAAATTGGAAACGGGCGTTGACGCGAGTCGACTCTTGAATGCAGTCGAGCGGCTTCGCGCGTCGCCGCACGTCACTTGAGCATTCACTTGATCACACTGATGGTGCACTGATCCGAGCGCACTAACGTGTCGCCAAGCGTTGTAGTTGAAAAACAGGACGCGACGCGCCGCTTCGACTCTGCGCCAGTGTGAGTTGAGAGTTAGACAGCGCAAATTTGAAAGATAATGTCGTAGAAGCAAAGGATGGAAAAAAAATAAAAGATAGAAAACAGTTCGGAGAATGGAAAAAATGAAGACAAGGAAAGAGAATCATAAATGTCCAAATTTTTTATTGAAGTGTAAAGCAATTGGATGTCGTTTAGAGGACTAAATTAGGCATCACCAAAGATTGCAACGTGATTACAACTTACGAGATGTAGGTAGTTGTCACTCCCAATTGTTGTGCCTTCAAAATAAATCCTTGGTTCTTTGTTAATAGCTACTTTGTCGAAAGTGATCGAAGGTCGGCGCACAATGTACCTACCCCTTTATCGCAATTTTTTCAGTCCTCTGGATGGGTTGCTGTATAAATTTGAAAATCATAGAGATAGAAGGAAGACGTGAGGGAAGAAGTTATTCCACTCATTAGAGTACTACTACCAATACGAGTATATCCATCTCATCATCAGTCCTCACAAATTGAGGTCGACCAAAACAAATATATAAGTAAGCTCGATTCCACGTGTAGTTATTTAGAGACCCAGTAATTTTCGGACTAATTTATAATGATTTCCTCTAGCAAGTGAGGATATAATAAAAAACTAAAGAATGAAGAAGAATGTGTTGGTACAGAAAGTACCTATTAATAGATTTTCATGCATTTTTGTTTACTCTAGCTTACTCTTAGCCATTAAACAAGTTTTCCATGACAACTTTTGCTTCTTAAATTAGACGAAGTTCACTAGATTTTCGTTCTTCTAACTAGAAGTAATTTTCGCAAAGAAAATATAAAAATACACACAAAAAAGAAATTCAAAATATTTACGTTTATTTGACCGTCTTTTTTCTAATTACGGTATACAAGCACCTACTTATTAAGCCAGGTTTTCACTATACGAGTGCTCTCCACAAATTAGAAAGATAAGTAGGTGTACTCGTACAAGATAGATCGTATGGAAGTCCATTCGGATTTTGGTTTACACCTTATGAGTTAATCAGCGTTGCAACCCTCTTTCTGTGGCATATAAATGATATGTTGACTCCAGGTACCTTTGGGTATGCTGATGACAGCACAGATGTGGACAGGTACTTGACCAATGCAAGGGTCAGTGGAGAAGAAATCTAGTCTTGTCGAGAGTCCACGGTTAGTCATTTGAATTTGACACTTAAGGCAGTCAACGATTGGGACGATGCCAATATTGTCATATTAAATGTTACCAAAACGCAGGCGTGTCTTTTCTCTACTTAACGGAATCCCTTTCACGTGACTCTGACTTTTCGTGATATATCCATACCAATAACCGACCGTCTTCACCTACTTGGAATGGACCTGTCATCCAATCTGAACTTCGGAATATACATTGAATCCACGGCCAGAAATGCCGCCAAGAAGCTTGGCATCCTTTCCAAGGTACGGCGTTACTTCACACTGGGACAGTCCCATATCATTCTATATATGTTTTGTTTATAGTGCCCCTCCTTATCAACCTCTTGGTTATGCAGGATGGGCACTATTAACTGTGCGCGCACAGGAACCTTACAGGTGCAGGTTCTGACCCCAGATCAGCCAGTGTACAGGGTTCTCACAGACCTCTGTCACTTGACTTCATCCGGTTCTTCGAGAGGCTAGTGCCTCAGGTGAGCCGCCCCGGGTGCACGTACAGTACCCTACCTATTTTCCCGATAAGTACAGGAGCTGTAGGCACGCTCACTTCCCATTGCGCATTGCACTAGCAGTTGCCACCGCTATTCCGTTCACACCGGGACAGTTGCTTCAGCTGTACCAAGCACAAGTCCGGTCGTGTATGGAGTACTGCTGCCACTTATGTGATGGCTCTGTGAAATACCAACTGGCCACCTTGGATTCAATAGACAAGCGTGATAAGAGGCTTATAGGTTACTCGGAATTAGTAGAGGCGAAGCTGCAGGGCCTTGAACACCGCTGTAGAGTTGCCAGCTTATCGGTATTCTACAGAATATGCCACGGAGAGTGTGCGATGGAATTGCATAATTTGATTCCGCCTTCCCCTTTCCATCATCAATTTTGTAATAATACATTTGAATTAAAATTTTAATGTAGTTTTTAAATTCAGGATAATACATATTATTAGATAAGATTATCATTTCCGTTATTAAGTGCTCCGTAAGCATAGTATAAAAACATATACAGTTCCCCATAAAAGGGTCGTTTGCCATGATTCCAGTACTCTACTTAATGCTCAAGTCAGGACTTGAGTATGATTTAAAGCACTAGATATTAGGGTCGTATTGCCATGCTTGAAATCATACTCAAGTCCTGGCTTGAGTATTGAGTAGAGTTCTGGAATAGGACCCTGAATCACAAATATTTATGTTCAAAAGGGTAATATTATACGACCTCTCTGAATAATTTCAGGATTTTGCCAAAACTCGGAACTATATAAGAACAAGAAGTTTTCGAAAATACTATTAAACGGCTTTAGGCTTTAAATACATATAGGCGAGGAGAACCAAATAACAATCGCGACTGAAATAATGCTAGAAGAAACTTTTATCTTTCTCTCATGAAAAATCTGTGTTTTTGAGATAATACCCTGTTTATCTGAACCAACGAAATGCTGAAGTAATCGCGTAACATACACACAAAAAAAATATGAATAGAGAACCGTCTCCTTTTTTGAAGTCGGTTAAAAATACGTTAAATATACTTATTCCTTTTTTAATCATCATCAATATTCAATCAGTCATCAACCTTATGTTGCTGATGTATGTACCTACATACTTACGGCCCATTCGCACGAAGCGCTTTGTTTATAGTCCTTCTAAATACGTACAGCACAGGAATGGAATACGGCAACTATAGAAATATACGATGTGTTCTCAAATTTTAAAATCGTCATATGCTTATTCTTTAAGTTGACTTTTGCATTAGCAAAAGAGCTTTTTAAAATCGAAAAAGAGAAAACTGAAATTAATTACACTCTATATTATTTTAATGGCAACCAGAGAAGGGATTACCAATGAGGAAGAAAAGTTGCTAACAGATGTACTGCATGTCTTCAGAACGCGTGCAGATTGGGATTCAATCGAGATTTCGACTGCAAGCGTTGCCTGCAGTCGAGGTGAACGATAGCCCGAGAATCAAAAACAATGATCACATTTTTTTAAGAGATGTATGTTTTTTCTTTGTCTGAAACAACTTTTTTTTAAATAGGTATCGGCAATATGTAAATATTTTATAAATTATTGCCTTTTCTTGATGGATTCAATTAACTTTGCACAATGATTATAATATTTTTTGTAATGGCTTTTGTTTACATTTTTGATCGCAAATCCCTTCGCAAAGTATAGTCGTGGTCTTAGAATGCTCTAAGGTCGTGGTATACGGAGGTAAGTTTTTTGACAAATTAAAATGGACAATTTCGATAGTGATAAATGATAATACCTCTGATATGTTTGTTTTTTAATAAACTGAACTCCTGAGCGAATCGCACGCTTAGATGATGGAAAAAAATAAAGTAACGCACGGCGATAACTGCTTGCAGTCAGTGTCAACTGCATGAGGTTGTATTATATCTCGAAGTAAGTCTCAGATCTGGAATACGATCCTAAGGGTCTAGGGTCTCTACTCAATGCTCAAGTCAGGATTTGAGCAGACTTGCGTATGATTTCAAGCACTGGAAATACGACCCTAATAGCAAGGACTGAGTATGATTTTCAGTGCTCACTGCAATACTCAAGTCAGGATTTGAGCAGACTTGAGTATGATTTCAAGCACTGGAAATACGACTATAATGGCAAAGACTTGAGTTTGATCTCTAGTGCTTTGAATCATACTCAAGTCTTGACTTGAGCATTGAGTAGAGTTCTAGAATACGACCCTTAGAGGATAGAAAAAAAAGAAAGTAAAGTAAAGTAAAGTTTCCATAGTCTAAGGAGTAAGTAGTGTCTTTACTCTGAATATTATATCGACTTAAAGTAACATTAAAATTTAATCCATCAAAGAAATTGCCATTGACGAAGATGTAGCAAAAGACAATGATTAAATAAAAATAAATTAAGGTGAACAATGGTAAGCACAACCGGAATTAAAATACTGTAAAGAAATTACAAATTAAAATCTAAGAGGAAATTGCACGAGATGCTGGCGGAAGAAACCTTTAATGATATAAACCTAATGGAAATATTACATACATAAACAATTTTAATTTTTAAAATTTAATTTTTCAAAAAAATATTTATTTTATTTCTTATTTCCATAACATGTATCTACAAGCCAAACTGTTGCTTATTCTCAAGGCAGCCATTGTCTACCCCTGACCTTTCAAGTGCTTCATCAACAGAAATGGTCAAATCCATCAAGGAACTTTCAAAATCGGTAAAATCCTAATGCTATACATTTGCGGCGGAACGGAATGAAGGCAAATTTGTGTACGATATTGTAATATGTACATAGCGTTTTGAGCTTTAAGGTGTATTGTATAACGTACAAACTTGATACCTACCAAACATCGCGCGTCTTCCGCGGAATTCTCGAGCTTTCGCCCAGCCGGGCCCCAAACCGGCCCGCCAGCCGGGCCAACAACTGGCCCCCCGACCGGCGCCCCGACCGGCCCACCGACAGGCCCCCCAACCGGCCGGAATTGATTTTAATTGCAATTAAAATCAATTCAATTGAAATCAATTGCAATTGATTTTTTAATCTGATTGAATTATTGATTGAAATTTAATTGATTAACGCCCAACACTGGTCTTATATTCTGCATTACCTCACAGAAAAACGAAATCCAAATATCATGGAGTTTTGAAGTTACAGCCTTTCTATTTTTGAACTACTTACTATCTTACTTTTGAACATATTACGGTAAAATCTTCCAATAAGATTATAGACTTAATAATAGCAGAAAGTTGCTTTGATATAACTAAAACAAAATTTATAATTTAAGAAATTTGGTTTCAGCACGAAATCAAACTACACCTAAATATAGAAAACATAAATCGTCAGTCAAATAATTCTCTTTAAATTTTACATTCGTTTTTTTTTCAAGTCAAAATCAGAAATTTCTAATGACTAATAAATATTTTCTTGAATCTAGAGTAGCTTTATGACATATATAAATTAATTTGCTCTTGAATTAAATATTTCGATCTTATAACTAAAATACACTTTTGATACGTTTTTTTACTATTATCAAGTAATTCTTCTCTAGCGTCTGTAGGGAGAGGATCGTTTTGTTGGATTTATTATAAAGACTTCATAAAAAGAAATTTGTCTTTTCCTAAGCAATATTTTTACCGTGTAGGCAGTGTTTGTAGATCAGGAACGAAAGGCAGCGAGGTTGATGACGAGGTAGCGATGACACTACATTAGTAGTTGTATAACCACGAGCTACACTCAGATCGTGAGCGTCGCCTTCAAAAGCCCTGTTTTTTTTAATAATATCAAGTGACGGGAAGAACAAGTCGTGCGCCTGATGGTAAGCTACACGCCTGTAGATCGTTTTACGCGCGTAGTTGCGACACGTTTCACTCCACTACATATTTCACACAGGTAAAAATAACTGCACTTGTTGGAGGAGTCGAAAGATGGAGACCAGAGATATACATATGTATAATTGAAGTAAAACAAAAATAATTTTCGATTATGTATTATTTCAATACAACGTTATTACACGTGTTGTTAATTTCAACTTTTGATATAATGCGCTGGACACATTTACACTTACTCTTATTAGATTGTAGAACAAGAATAACACATACATATCCACTACTGTCAAAGTAGCAATAATTTATATTTTTAAACAGCTAGATATACTTATGACATAACATGAAAGTGCAGTTAATCTCGACAAAATCATAATCACATCTCTAGAAGTTGTATCGTTTAATCCCTGGTCTGGATGTACTTGATGAGATCAATGACTCTGCTGGAGTAACCATACTCATTGTCGTACCAGCTGATCAACTTTACGAAGTTGTCATTCAAAGAGATACCAGCAGCGGCGTCGAAGATCGACGAATGTGTGTCACCAATAAAGTCAGAAGATACAACCTGATCTTCGGTATATCCAAGGATACCTTTAAGTGGTCCGGCCGCGGCTTCCTTCACTTTCTGTTTAATGGCATCGTAGCTGGCAGGTTTGCCTAGGCGAACAGTCAGGTCAACTACGGAAACATTAGGGACGGGGACGCGGAAAGCCATACCAGTCAGCTTGCCGTTCAGAGCAGGAATAACTTTGCCGACGGCCTTAGCGGCTCCTGTAGAGGCGGGAATAATGTTCTGCTGCGCACCACGGCCATCGCGCCACAGTTTGCCAGAGGGTCCGTCAACAGTCTTTTGGGTGGCGGTAGTGGCGTGTACAGTGGTCATAAGACCCTCAACAATTTCAAAGTTATCATGAATGACCTTAGCGAGAGGAGCAAGGCAGTTAGTCGTGCAAGATGCATTGGAGATGACCTTGTGTGAGGGGTCATAAGTTTCGTGGTTGACGCCAACGACAAACATAGGTGCGTCAGCACTAGGAGCAGAGATGATAACTTTCTTGGCACCACCCTCCAAGTGAGCTGAGGCTTTGTCTATGGTGGTAAATACACCAGTGGATTCAACAACGTATTCAGCACCAACCTTAGCCCATGGAATGGCTTTAGGGTCTCTCTCAGAGAAAACTGCGATCTTGTTTCCGTTGACAACTAGATGTCCATCTTGGGCCTGAACGGTTCCCTTGAAACGACCATGAGTGGAGTCATATTGGAACATGTAAACCATATAGTCCAAACCAATAAATGGGTCGTTGACGGCTACAACTTGAGCTCCTTTCTCGATGGCAGCACGGAGCACCAGGCGGCCAATGCGGCCGAATCCATTGATACCGATCTTCGACATGTTTCCTGAAACAAAATGAAATTAAAAACTCATTATTTTGAAACCTAGTACCCTTTAGAGACATTAAAAAGAATAATTCTATGTTATCATATTATGTTGGTGGTCTACATTTTGATTTAAGTGTATCATTAACTGATAATGAAAAAAATAGTTGGATTGAGCAATTTCCAGTTTTTTTTTATTTATGTAAAAATGGTCAGTTGGTGAGACCTGATTAGTATCTTAACATTGGTACTTTGCTATTGATGAGTAAAATTATTAAATAAAACTGGAAATCACATATCGGCTTTGTTGGAAAACCTTCTATTGCTAACACAGCTTCTATGAAAATTATCTATGACTGTTTTATGTTCTTTGTCAAAAAGAATTACAGAATACACATTTTCCTTATTCAGAAAACTCACATTGTTTTTATTTTTTCCCTAGTGTTTAGGAAAGAAAAAATGTCTACTGTCTTTACAGGCTTATACATTAAACGTAAACCTACAACCTAAAACAATTAATATAAAATATGCATTCAATCATATAGAGACAATAACTATAGTCAACAGATTGTAAAATAATTAACTTTTATGGTTTCCAACTATTTTTAAATGGAATACACTGGAAATAAACACAAATTCAGCTAATAAAGAAATTTTTGACCTTGAACAGTGTCTAGGACTTATTAGATGATCAGATAATTGTGGGATGTGGCTGTGTTAGTACTTTTATACCGGCATATGGAGGTCACGTAGAGGTCATTCATTAGAACCGGAAAATACACGAAAAATTGGCCAAAGTATTTCGTAATCAGACTATAAAATATGAAAGAAATGATCCAAATACACCAAAACAGCATAACACACGCAAAAAATATATTATTAAACTACAAATAAATGATAAAGTAGTAGCGGTTACGTTAATGATGATGTAAATGCAATGTCGTAAAAATTACTCAGTAATCGTTCATTAAAGCTTGTTGAAATAATGAATACATTATTAAATTGAAATGCAAATCAATGTAACACTTACCGGGAGGAATTTAATGCAAAATACTTTGTAGACACTGCACACGTACACCAGACGTAAGCTCCGCTCAAAATGGAGTTCAGAAATGTCAGGTGAAGGACAACGCGATGTAACAGATCGATGACGCAAAGATTTGCAATAATCAGAGCTGTGCATCAGAGAGACACATTTTGTTAACGGTAGCGGTTACAAGTTGTTTAACGGAATTAAAGATTATGTCGTTTATGTGACAAAAGTATGGTATTTCAATACCTATTTATACAAATATAAGAATAATGCCTGGTAAGTGTTAGTTTCATCTACAAAATTGGTTTTAGTTAAATTATGCCACTAATTTAAATAAAGGCACGTCTATGCTATTCTAATCTATGATATAAAAGAAATGTTTCCCAATAGGGTTGTGCCGATCATCATGCCAGTAAATTAACCGGTGTACCGGTAAAATTTTTAATTTTTCCATTCGTGGTATTTCTAGCTTTTTTTCGAAATCTAATGGAAGTAGGAGCTTTTCAAAAAAGAAATATATTCCATTGTATATTTTTAGCATTTAGGAAATCTACAATCCATCGAATATTATTATTTCCTTAGTGGCGACCACCAGGCCAATTATTGAATTAGAGCCATAGTCAATAAATCCCTTCGCAGTGGAATTTTTCCCAAGTCGTGGAAGTGCGCTGTTGTTTCGCCTATTCCGGAGAAATCAAGGGTGGAAGGGTATGCAGATAATCAATAGATGGCGATGGAATCTTCTTTTCTAAGGACACAATTTTTATATAATTTTTCAGAACCCGAAATATATTTCATAAAGGCAGGAATTTACTTCAAACATATTTTTATTTTTATATAATTTGCATTAAAATTACGAAGGCTTAGATTAAATTATTGTAACACAGAATAAAATGATGTGACGCATTTACTTTGTTCTTCATTAAGATTGTATATTGCATATTCCCACTATTACGACAGAAAAATAATTATAAAAACAATTAGGTATTTTGTTATCTCCAAACACATTGGAGCACAGACTACTTAGTGAACTACGTTCAGACTGCTCACTGTAGTACTTTTTTTTCAGTAGTAAGAATTATTTTTAATCTGTGATACTAATGTCGACTGACATTCCATTTTTTTTTTTGGTAGACGATATTGTCTTGCAAAGGAGCAGAACGTATACATCCATACTTTAAAAAAAAAAAAAGGTGGTTAGGGGTTCCAGTTCATTTATATAAAATAATACGATAAAATAAAATAAATAAAACAACTCAATATTTGTTATGTTGTTGTTGTTTTTTGCATAAGGATTCATTTTATTTGTTAATTTTTCGAACAACATTTTCTTATTAAACTGAAGGGCTCTCTTAGCTCTTCGATGAAAATCGGCCTGCTGTTTAGACTTTTTGTATTCTTTATAAATACTTTTGCATGTTGGTGACAAATCTTTTACTTTCGTGATTAAACGTCTTCTCATAGGTTTCGGATCCTTAGCAATTCTGACTGTATCCAAGCCTGGAAAACACAAAAGTGAATGATGAAGTCAAGTTCTATGGAATGTAAAACATTATAACAACATGCAGCTGCACACTTACATATTATGTTGTATGTTACAAGTTTGTTGAATGAGCAGTTGCAAAGAGAAAAACCAAACATTTATTTTCGACTATACATAAGGTTATTAGAAGAATATACTAGGTTACATAATACAAAGAAAATTAATGTCTGAACTGGGAACAAACTCAGGACCTCTGCATATCCAGCATGGAGTAAATAAAGGTTCATTGCAAACATATTCATGTGGTAATAATACAACAATAATAACTCAAAATCACTTACCAGAGGCTTGAAATGCTTCATTCATCACTGGTTCAATGATTACAGGATTAACTGAAAAATAATTAGGTACTGTTGAGAAACAAGATGTTTCCATCATATAAAACAGATAGATGATGTTTATAAAATAGATCACAATAAACATACATAATTAACATCTACAATAAACGAGGTATTGTGGGAGAGATTGTAGCACCATTTGTCCACACTCACTGATGGTCTATAAGTACAAGTTGCTTCAGAATTGTGTAAAAAATGAAAAGTTGACACACCGTTAAAACCTTAACTATCCTTTATAACTTGAGTCCAACAAAAAAATTCCATTACCTAAGTCCTGTTTAGGCAGTGGAATTTGCGATGGGCCAGGCACATTCTGAGACTCACTGGAGCTAGAGGCAATTACTTCTGAAACGTGAGAAATTACACACTATAATTTTATGCAAGTCTCTCCTGTAGGTATTTTGGTATTCTGTGTGTTTATGAGTGAGAGTTAAATAAATGTGATAGGTGATAGTTGAAAATAATAACTTGCTATTTATTTGCAACAAGCATTATGTATACTATATTATCGCATACTATAATATCGAACCAGTAAAGGGGCCAATATGTCAGAATATAAATTTACATGCAATAAATCCATTTCAACAGTTTTACTAGAAAATGTTACAGTAATACAAACTGCATTACTAACCTTTTAGTGGTTCCCTTTGAAAGTATGTGTGGTCAAAGTGTCTTTTACGCAAGTAACTATGCTCCAAATCAATATCCATGTTTTCTGTAAGTGCAAAATAAATAAAACAATTAATATTAATAACATTAAAAGTTATTCCTACGAACTAGGACACATCCGGGTATAAACACTAACACATGCAGGTATAAACAAACAATTGAAAACTCAATACTATTTCTTTAGTTTTAAAATTAAGTAAGTACTTAAATTGTTATAAGTTATTAACACTGGATACACCAACGTCGGCAATTGCGAATTTGTTTCTTAGATGACGGTTATAGTTATTAATATTTTATTTCTACAAAGCAACTACGGGCTAAGCTCATATTAAAAGTCTGTTAGGACGTAGAGATTAGAAGGCTATAGTAAAGTCTGTACTTAAAACTTACCGGCATTGTCCTGTGATGGTATTCCAGAGGAAATCTCGTCTTCGGTAAACAAAGATGGATATGCACTGCCTATGAGACGTAATTTCGGCGTAATAAACCTCTTTTCAAAGTGTTTTTGACATACAAAAACGTTTGAAAGTTCTTCTGGTGATAACTTTTTCAGATTATCACGATTTAGTTACTTTAACCACTTCATGAGTCTTTTCTCAGTGCGAGGAAAATGATGTAAAATAGCGTCCTGTCGTGAACTTTTACATACACAGCACTCGTACATTTTGTATGAAGCAAAATACAAACACACAATACAGAATTAACGGAGAAGATAAGCACGTCACGTTTTCACTCGATCCGAACCTGTACAAACAAGCTACAAGCCACTACAAGGTGAAAACAACAAAACAATAACAAAGTGTAAAATACTACGATCACTACCCAAGATGGCGGAAAGGCTACCTACGCCTGCGGCAGCCAATCACAGCAAGGAAACAAAAATGACAAATGTCATTATTCATTAAAAAAGATGGCCGCTATTGCGAGCGGTTTTCTATAGGTAGATTACCGGCCGTGCATTGGAGCTTCTGCGTCAGCATGCTTTTTTGACTTAATTTTTGCATAGGTAGTTGTCAAATGCGTTTTTTTGCTTTAATTTTCACGTTTCTCAAAAATTATTTTCTCGAAAACCTTTGGCGTCCTAAAACTGAAAATTAATTTGAACGCCCAACTCAACGTCACGTATGCTACAAAGTTGAGCCTTAGCGGATGTTTGTAATTGTTTTATATTTCATTGTGTTTTTTAAGTCACGTCAAAGTTGATTACGATTGAATAAATGTTTGAAAAACAAATATACATGATTTGAAAACAAAAAATTGTTTCGTTTAAAAGTATTGTTAGGTGAATTTAATATACTTAATAAAAATAAAATGCCCCCGAGAACCCAGTAGAAAGAATGAACCTATAGATATATGTATGAACAGGAAAGAAATAGCTCCGGTGTTACCCTCTAGCTTAGGTACGATTTGAGCTGATAACTCTATATCAGTATATATAAATGTACTCTTTGCGGTCAACTGAACTAGGTCGGTCTTCTAGTTCAAGTTCCTTAGTTCGTCTTGTCCTTGCGCGGACATTGAACGAACGTTCCAAACTAATATATTAGAATAGTAATTTTATTCACATGAACAACGGACTTCTAGTATTATGAGGTCAATAGTTACACTGTACTAAATATTTAAAAATACAATTTGTATGGAATCAGTACATAGGGCGCACTATTAACCGGCCGATTTCTATATTGCCCACTTTATCCAAGATCCTAGAAAAAATATTAAACAAGCGTCTAGTTAACTTCCTCGAAACAAACAACTTGATATCAGCTGCCCAGTATGGCTTTCGCGCAGGTATTTCAACTGCAGATGCTGTCCATGAACTTACAAATACTATTGTAAGTAGTCTTGATGAGGGGAAGAAATGCCTGGCTGTTTTCCTTGACCTCGCCAAGGCTTTTGACACGGTTTATATTCCTCTCTTGCTGCACAAACTTGAATCCTTCGGCGTAAGGGGAGTGCCCCTCCAGCTTTTTAAAAGTTATCTTACTAGTAGAACCCAAAAAGTAAAGATCGGAGATTTTATTAGCGATGGACTGGAAGTGACTTATGGGGTGCCACAGGGCAGTATCCTAGGCCCCACTTTGTTTTTAATTTACATCAACGAACTCTGCAACTTAGATCTTGTAAATGGTAAAATTGTGACGTTTGCAGACGATACAGCCCTCATCTTCGCTGACGAGAACTGGAATGAGACTTTCCTTAATGCTCAAAAAGGTTTTCATCGGGTTCACAAATGGCTTCTCGATAACGTCCTTACACTAAACGTGACCAAGACAAAATTTGTAACTTTTGGACCTAAAAAGAATCTCATTCCACACGAGTCACTTTCCATTGTCGCTCAATCGTGTTCTGATTTCAACTCAACATGCTCCTGTCCTGCACTTTTAAGAACTTCCACCATTAAGTACCTTGGCATCCTACTAGACCAAACATTGAGTTTCAAAGAACATTATGAATATGTTGTCCTCCAGACTACGCAAATTAATATTCATATTCAAAAATCTACGTCACGTTGCTGACCGAAAAATCATTAAATCAGTGTTTCTAGCTTTAGGTCAATCCCTG